AGATTTTGGTTGTTGGCAAGACGTTGACGGCAGAATTGGCTTACAGGGAAGCGCCGGATCCACAATATAGGGGAATTTGCATTTCATTGAAAATTAAGCCAGTCCGAAGAAACAACTCCGAAAAATAGGCTGAAAACGGGACGGCGCGAAAACTGTCGTTCCATGTTTTCTAATTTCCGTTCATTATTTTTTCGTGTTCTTGTATATTTTTTTACAAAATACGTTTTTGTGAGCGGAATTTTATGAGAAAACAGCCATGAAAAACCGTCACGTCAATTCCCCCGCTAAGCCTAGCGGGGAAATCGACGTCACGTGGCTTCAAGTCACGTGATGTAAATTTTCCCGCTAAGTTTAGCGGGGAAATCGAGTTCACGTGACCTCGTCACGTGCCCTCAATACATTCTGTGCTCCCCGGTTTTGATCCCACCACGATCAAATATATATATATTTCTTTTTCTTTTTTTTCATGCAGGTTTTAGCCATTACTGCTCATTGCTCCTTGTTGTTAGTGCGTGTTTTTGTCTCAGTTTTCCCTGCGTGTTAAAAATATGAGCATTCCGTCTGGCCAAGCGTCAGCAAAGCGCAAACTTGATAGGAGCGGATTCATCTCTCGCTGAATATGCGTTCGTGTTGAAACGCATGAGCGGCAAGAGCAGTTATCGTCGTTCCTCGGCGTTGTTCTTCGCTCGGCTGGCTTCTGCGAATCGCGGGGCAAGACCTCCCCGCCGTAATCTTTTTTTTTTTATCTTTTTTTTTTTTTTTCAAAAATATTTTAAATTGATAGAACGTGATGGGGTGCCATCAGTGCAACCATTCAGCGCTCTCTGGTTCCAGTAAGCTGTTGTTTACATGAAACTCTACGATACTTTAGGAACTTTACTCGCTTCTAGGTTCGCAAACGCTGTTCTCTTCGAGATTGACGACCCGTCGTCACCTTGGAAATTGTTGCCTTTGACAAAAACACACACACACACGTACGCACGGACATATAAATACATACATAAAGCAGGGTGTCTAGCGACCGGGAAAACCGGGAATTGTCAGGGAAATTTTAAATACCGGGAAAATTCAGGGAATTGTCAGGGATATTGTCAAAAAGCCAGCCCAGTCAGGGAAAATGAGCCGGAAATGCCATCGAGTGCCTTGAGCAAAGACTTGAAGACTTTGGGGCAGAAAAATAGGCAATGAATTCTGCTTACAGCGGGGCGCGGGCTCTGCTCACCCGATGTGCTGCCCGATGCAAAGGGAGCAGCCGACAAATCGAGTCTAAGCCTTGCCTTGGATTGGATTAAATTCGATTGAGGGCGTGACACTAGGCTAGATCCAGTCATTGTGTTTCCGGAAGCGGCCTCTTCATTGACGATGTCGGCGGCAAGAAAGTGCTTAATCCAGACTAGACGAACCCGAATATTTCGGAATATGCAAGTTGGATTAAGCCCGTGCAAACAGTGCTCAATGCTCAGTGTCTTGTGTTGTAATGGTGTTATATATTGAACCGCCTGTACGGTGATCAGGGAATTTCACCGAAAATTGTCAGGGTAAAGTGAGAGAATTTCAAAATAATAATTTGCTAGACTCACGGATACAGGCACACACACACACGAGAAAAAAAAAAAACCTGAACGTCTGCTTTTGGACTCGTCGGTGGCCATTGCACTCCACCGGTTCCCTTTCACAACATTGTCGCTTTGTTCATCATGACTGGCAATTTGCATGCCGCACGGATGGTTTATTTACAAACGGGGTCTTGAGATTTCTGTACTCGGTCGGCTTTCGTCTCTACACGCAGGTACAATAGGAACCACATTATCTCTGGATTTGTCAAATAGCTTATAGAAATTGCAGCCTATGAACTTCGACTTTCAGCTCTTAGCAGGACCAGAGCATGTTTAAAGACCGGCAATGCGCCAAATAAGCACGGCGGGCTGTTCGTACTCATATTGTCCGCTGTGGTAGACTGCGCGATACTGTTAGCACGAACACGACTCCGGCGCTTTTCGCATTTTACTTCAAAAGGGTACTAGCGGGCATCGAAACTTGCCACTTAGGTTAGTACCCCAACCTAGCGCTTTCCACCACTATAGTAGGTTTGGTGACAATCCTTCGATACTGAGAGAAAAACAGAAAACCGGCGATGGCTTGTTGGCGCTAACAGTGTCGCGGGGTGTACGTGGTCCAGGGGGGTAAAGGTGGGTGAGGAGGAGTGGCAAATCCCGTGCGCCGACATCCTGGGTCCCGAGTGAAAGATCGCAAAAGAGAGCGACAGAACACGAGAGAAAGAAACCAATGTTGCCAGCTGAAGGACGACAGTCGCAATGGTAATCGCGAAGACTGAAAACTCTCAGCAATATAAACAGTGATAATTTAACGTTGCAAACTAAATTCTGAGCTATTCTAAGGTTTATAAAAAGCAGCATACCCATTACGCCGCATTAACTTCCCTTCTGTTGAAATCTCGAAAATCTTGTGTTTGCTCGGTTTCGTATTCCTGGGGCGCGCCCACTCGCGCCCCAAATAACCGCCCGCGAGGACGGTTATCTGGGGGGCTATGTTGCGCTTTTTGCACTCCCAGGAGACTTGGAAGAGGGAAGTGACGTCAACAACGCAGCAAATGCAGATTGGGTGTTGATTTTGTTTTCTCTGTCAACATCCAATCTGCGTTTGCTGTATCGTTGACGTCACTTCCCTCTTCCAAGTCTCCTGGGAGTGCAAAAAGCGCAACATAGCCCTCCTGGTTTAGCTTAGCGTTGATGCGAGGCTGTACATCTGCGCGCTACGCAAAAAGAAAGCTTCGAAAGGAACGCGAATATCTTTTCACTCGTAAGTTCGCGGATTGTTGACGTTCTTGAAACTGCTCTGATGATATAATTATATTCGTGAAATCGAAGGGCAGTTGGTAACAATGTGTGGGACCCCGAGGGTCTGCCTGCATGCTCCGCCGTTGCGGCAGCCAGAATGCGTGGGAAAATGGCGGACTTTTTCCTCTAGAGTTAGAATGTACGATCTCTATGACGTGGTCACTGCACATCACCTTCCTACTGCTGTGTGAGGCATCGCGTCTTTAAACGTGTGCTCCGTTGCATTGCTAGCCTGAATTTTCTGCTAACAGAAGACAAAGGGGGGAGAAAATACGAAATAAAAAAGATGCGCCACCGATTGCGTAGTTTCAGGAATGCTATGAAGATGCATTGTCTCTCTCTCTCGGCGATGTCGCAAATGGTCGTTTAGCTGATGCGGGCAAACTCCTGAATGCCGATCACGTGGCGCGAACGAGCCAATCAAAGGCCATTTTCTACAGCGCGGGGTGATTATGACAGTCATTTCGATACCCATAAACCGAAGGTTCGGCCTCAATTTTCGAACAACGCAATGCACGCACCACGTCGGGACCAAACGCCACTTTACGGCGATAGCGCGTTTCCGACGTTCCAGCACGTGGCACTAAATGCACTTGCGCTCGTGCGGTGCAGGAGTGCTTTCAGGGCAACATGGTCGCGCTTGTATATGCTTGTATGTTCATCCTCGCTCACACTTACGATGAAACAAGGATAGCTTTCTGCGCATGTGCAGGCCCAGAGTTTTCACGTGACCACATGATCGTTTGTCGACGCGTGCAAGTTTGTCTGCTCTTTCCGCTCCTCGTGCGTTTGTTTACCCGGCAAATGCGCCCACGTGATTTTATCCCCCCTCCCCTCCCCCCCCCCCCCCCCCCCCCCCCCCTTCGATCTCAACATTGACGACGCGCGCTTGGCTGCCCCGTAATCGCGCGTTCCCTGCGCGTTACCCTTCGATTCCGTAACGTTCCGATAGGCCAAAGACGCATTTTTCAACACTTTCTCGCTGTATACACGAGCTTTCAAATCCAGCTGCACCAGTTTCTAAAACCTGCGCTCGATAATAACGTACTTAATTGGGTGATATACCTGTGTTGGTGCTTTCACGTGACTACGCGCTCGACTTTTTTCGTTCGGATAACTTGCTCTTGATAGTAACGCAAATGGTGTCACTACCGGGTGATATCTGTGTAAATGTGGTGATCCAGTCTTCTACACGCGTTCATTTCGCTCTGGTCTCTGCTGCGTCGGCCTCGGAAAGGATGTAGCTCGCTGCTCTGCACGGTGAATGAACAGCGTCCTTGGTGCGAGGCAAGAAGTGCGGCCATTGTGACGGCTGACCTTGACTGGGGGCGACAGTGGCGGCGGCGGGCGCGCTCTTTGTTTTTTTGTGTTTTGGGCGACGATGCTGCGATGTGTTCCGGCAATTGGAGGCGGCACTTAAGCGTGCGAGGAATTAATTGCCTGTGGGAAACGCTCATCTCGCCGCCACGCACAGGAATGTCCGGCCGACCCGCGTGCTCCATAAAAGAACGAGGAATTTCGCCGCGGGTGGAGGCACGCGCGGAATGCTCGCGTTTGCGTAAAGATTAAATATTCACGAGTGTTCGCCGCTGCGCGTAGTCGCCTACGCAGTTTACACGCTCTTCCCTCAGTTTGGAGGCATGTTTATTGTTGCCTGTACAGTTCGTGCGATTGAAGCGCGCGAGCATAAAAGGTGTTGCTAACAAGCTGTATTTGACGTGTTTGCGGACAATGTTCTTTCTCTTCTGGTGAGGAGAGGCCCTGCGTGAAAAGTTACTCAAAATAATTTCGCATATTTCTTGGCCTTAGCTGCGTTTGAATACCTAGCGGCTCAAAAACGAGATGATCCGAAATGTGGAACCCCAGTACATTCTATTTTACATTGGTAACTGCGCGGCTTCGGGGTGGTCCCGGCGGACATCGCGTGAATTCGATGGGCCGCGCGATGTTTGGGTAGTTTTCCACCACAAATGTCTAACCAAAAAAAAAAAAAAAAAATGGGATGGGCGATTTCTCGCGGGTGGGCGTTAATTCGGAATTTTACTACATGAAATGACACTGCCAAGTTTGCATCAGTGTTATTATGTTTGTAAAGTAGTTCCGTTAGCATTTTCTTATTTCAGTATCCTTTTCTCTTTACAGCAGCAAAATCGGAACAGCTTCAGTGCCAGTGAAGAGGGCCAGTCACAATCTTCAGACTACGAAGACCAAGACGAGGTTGAAAAGGTGAGGAACTTTGACATTCTGCTGTTTGTGAATATTGACAATTCATACGGTGTATGTTTAGACAGATACTAATTTTATAAAATGAAACATTTTAAATACGGGTATGTTTCCAATACAGGTATGTTTACTATGGGATAGCTTTGTCAGCCACTGTAGAATTTGGGGATTAAGTGTGAGGCGATAATTGACAAGCTAAATACCTAAATTTTACTATTTCACTTTTTTAAAATATTTTTAGCAAGCACATATGTTACAGTTAGATACTAGATAATAGTGGAAACTAACAAATCTGACCTATATTCAAATTATAGATAAAAATATAGGTGGGATTCCATGTTTTCCAAGTTTTTTTTTAATGAAATTCGAAGGATGTTTATTAGAGTTTATTTTTTATCGTAAGTCGAGAGTTTAGCAGTGTTTGCTTCTTTTAGATAGGGTGCTTAATATTCTCTTTATAAATCTAGTGTTAGATTTGATATAGCTTCTTTTTTTAGGTGCTCAATGCAATGTACATGCAGGAAAAATCACGTTCTTGTGCACATGTGAGGCATGGCAACAGATTTTAAAAAGCCTAGTAAAATAAGCTAATTCGCTCCTTTTAAACCCTTAGTGCATTGAACATAAAAAAATATAATGTGTGTGATGCTTCTTTCATTCTAAAATAATTAAAATAGCAAAAATGCCATTGCGAGGGGCTAACAAACATTTTCTAAATTTTTCATAAATATATAAAAAAATATATATATATAACCAAACCTACATAGTTGCAGTCTACATATTCTGAAGTATAAGCATGCCAAATTTGGCTGGGATAGGACAATATTAAGATTGTGCACAAACTGTGAAGATGCCCCAAAATGACATAAAAAGAAAAACTTTTTCGAATGTTACCATAGATGTGTAGCTATACCCTTTCGCAGTACAAAAAATAATATTTTGTTAATCAATTTTTGTGAGGAATTGAAGCTACAGAAGACTGCAATGGAGAGGACACTTCTAGGCCTACTTGTCAACGTAAATGTGATGGTGGGCGACGTCGCAACTTGAAGAACCATGCAGAGAGAAATGACTCAAGTTCATGGCACTCTGGTTTGCATGGAGGTCTCCAAATCCGTATCTGACTAATTTTGTGATCATAACCAGCACAAATTATTTTGATAGATCAAAAATAGAAATTCGAAAATTATAAAACAACGTAGAACCCAAAATCGCATCTTTGCAAAATATTTCCGTTTTTCTATTTGCATCTCCCCTTAATGATCCATAATTATGAATAAGAATAATCTCCACAGACAGATCGAGAGGCACTGAAAGTAATTTTGATTATGTGGAATATGTGGGATTATGAAAATCCTGCCTCCTCCTTCATGGTGTGTTCTAAACCCAAAACCAGATGAGTGACTACTAGTGAAATTGTAGGCTTGCATCACCGTTGTGGTGATCCAGAAATGCAGCAACATTGGCAATAGGGGATATTGTGTTTAAAAAAAAGGCTAGTAACCTCTCCTCCACCAGTGACCCTGTTCTTTACCTGGACTAATGTGAAATGTTCCCAGTTTTTTTCTTTCCAGTATAATATTTTTAGTTTGTTTTATCTGAAGTCACAGAACCCCAAATTTAAAGCATAGCAGTTTTTAGATTTCAGATTATTTGTTTAGGGCTATTCAGGGAAAAATATAAGCTGCCAAAGGCCCAGTATACCGAGACTCAAGATGTATGGGGGTGAAGAAAGTCCTCAGTGATGTGATTGCTGCGCCAATTGCGCCAAACTGCGCCAAGAGGCGAACCCTGTTACATCCTGCTACATTTTGCCAAAATATGGGTAATCTGCGCCAAGCCTGCGCCAAAAGACCAATTTTGGTCGTCTTTCAAAACCGAAACTAAACTGAGTACCGTAATTGAGCACGCATGAGCTAGGTATAGGTAGCGCAAGCGGCCGCCCAGCAGAAAGTACCCTGTATCAATCGTCCATCCGGTCTTGCATAGTTTTTCTCGCCACCTCTCGTTTCACGCTCTCGTCATTCTTTTGTCTCGTCTCGCGTATTTTTAAAAACTATTTCAACGATAGACGTGGGCGTGTGTTGACGCTTTTGTGCTTCAGTCGTCGTACAAGGCGCTCTAAGCACATATTTGACCCTAACTCGCTATGTCTTGTTTTGACCTGACTCGATCAGGTTTTTTTTTTTCTGTGTGTTTAGCTTGTACCTCGTCTGCTGGCCGGTCAAGCACTTGCCGCTGGACTGTTCTTTTGTCGTATGCAGGACAATTACATTTTGCATACAATTTTGTGAACCAGTTGGCGACGGGGCGGAGTGGCATGGTGTATGTTTCGATCGAACAGGCATCTACGCTCGCGCGACGAAGTACGTGCAAATGCAATCTGCCGAAGTTGCCCTCATGTGCATGCGAACATGACTGCACGACAGAGGCACCAGTCGGGACGCTTGCAACCCATTTTTTTACGTTTGCTTACTTTTGACGAAAATCTGGCACGTCGGGAACCAGTAAAACGGTGGCAAGCGGTTTTTCGGAATTGCTCGGCAACGGCCACAGCACTGTTCACTTGCGGGATGTCTCAATGTTTCTTTGGAGAAATTGAAAGTGGTAATTCATTACTAGCCAATGGCAAAGTGAGACCTGCAGCAGCCTTGTAGAAAGTTTTGAAAAGCAAAAAGAAAAGCGCCCGGTAGTCTTAATGCACCTTTGTCTTGTATACAATTTCGCATTGCAGTGCAGTAGTTACGTGTTTCATCAGTCGGAGACAGCTTCCATTTATTATATTATATAGCTACTGTAGTGAACCTAATGCTGTGATACCTACTAATAAGCTGGTCATTTTCAAATAAATTTTAATATGTGCAGTTTCGTTCTAATTTATCTATAAAGGCACATATATATGTATAATTTAACTGAAGCATTGCGAAATGTGTCATGTCATTGGCATTTCAGTTACATGTTGAAGGACTCCCAGGTGGCCGAACTTGACCATGTTTTTCTATTGCGGTGAGCGAAGTGTCCTTCGTTCGTGCAGCACTTAAAACAAATATGTTTATTTTTCTAAGAATATCTGCTCCAAAAGCCATTCTTGCTGCTCCGAAACACTGTTTTGGCTGCTCCGAAAGCAACTTTTGCTGCTCCAAAACACCGTTTTGGCTGCTCCAAAAGATGCTCCAAAACGGCTTTGGCCAATCACATCACTGAAGTCCTGCTTTGAAGAGATGTTTGTGACTGCTGTGAGAGCAGATGGCAAAGAGTTGCAAGCTAATCAGGCAACACCACGGTGGCTCAGTGTCATGTGCTACAGCTCCATACACAAAATCCATACACAAAATTCAGGCTCCAAGAAGCCTCAATTTTGTGCAAGGTTGTAGTGGTCAATTCCTTTGTACTTGATGATAAGGTAAAATATAGTTGTGTGTTCATAACCATTCATAATTTATTACATCTCAAAACGGAAATTGATTAATGTTTATCTTGTTTTCTGTGTTTCATTTGTTTTGCAGCAGATGGGAGATGCTCAGAAAACTCAGGACCAGCAACTCAGAAACTCCCTGGTGGGACGTGTCAGGCATCTCCACAAAGACGTCAAGAAGAAGATCTCGCGCTTCAGGAACAGCCGCAGCTCAGTGGATGGATCGGTGAGACCCCACCCCATCCCAACCGTTGTTGCCTGATTGTCTATTTAGTGGCGATGATTCCTTTTCAAATGATGCTTCCAACATGTATACCTTCAATGTTTGGATTGATTAGAGGAGCTCTCTTGGTTCTAAAAATATTTTATACTTGCTTGTTCAGGACGACAACAAAGACATGGCAGACGACAGCCTTCACCCAGGAAGCTCAATCGAAAGCATTCCCAGTGGTTCGGCAGGATCACGATCAAGTGAGTTATTTATTTATTTGTTTGACACTCTGGTGATCAGCGGCCGTGAATATTATGGGAAATTAGTCGGGTGATATCTGAATAAGAAGAGAGTTAAATTGTATTTTGTGTTTTCAACTCCACTCAAGTAGTTACAATTAGAGTGACTACAAAATTGAAGAAAAAAAAAGAAGAGAAGTGCAACGGCCTACTAACAGGAAACTAGCTAAAGTGTGACTTCACATCCTCTACAAAATGATAAAAAGTTGCCAGAGTGATGGTTTCATTCGTTAAATAATTTTAGTCTTAAATTGCCCGAGAGAAGTTCTCGACACCTCCAATATTTTTATTTTGTACGATGTGAGCATAGATGTGGCAAAAGTAACTTTGCCATTCAAGGAAACATACTCGGCTGATTATCGCGTTGGCGACCGCCATTAAAGTTGCAAGTCCAAACTATTGCATTTCCAGGCATACAAGCGCACACGCCTACAAGTAGCAACCGGAGTTCTTCCTCTATTGGAGAAGAGGAGTGCAACCCGCAGTGTTTTGGGCCTTTTGTTGGCCGGGCAAGGGCCCTGGTGGACTGCGTACCTTCTCCCTACGACAAGGATGGCCTCTCATTCAAGGTATGTGCTTCCCCATCTTGATGAGAATAAAAATGGAAGCTAAGGGCAGTGAATTTATGCCAGATCAGTTTGCGCTTCATTACAGTCGACTCCCAGTAATTGAAACTCCAGGAAACCACAGTCTTTTGTTTAAAATATTAGAAATTTGAATTCTCAGCAATTCATCTAAATATGTATGATATGATGTCAGGCAAAGTAGCAATTTGCTATAAGATTAGCTACACATACCAAGCAGATCTTTTACACTTTCCTCTACACAGGCCTATTTAAAAGAAGGCACACATATAAAACATTGCTGACGTTCGAAGAATATGGTGGTTTGGGCCTAATATTTTCTAATATAATATTGAATAGTTTCTCCGAGACCTTTGCTATCGTTTAAGCATGCTTTTACTACCTTTCTTAAACTAAAATTCAGCTGAACTGGAAAGATGTTCCCAGCCTTCCACTTGTCCAGTTCTGAGCTCAGTTCATTTTAATATAATTATATCTACGAACCGTGGCCTCAGAAAGTCCGATGCCTACGTTGGGGAGGCATGTAAATGACAGATTTGACATAAAATTAAACCGAAAGCGACACCCAGCTATCCTAATCGAGGGAATTTATAAACCTGCTTTCTCTATACAAATATTCTTTTTTTATTTGCGAAATTAATCACCTCAGAAAAATTTTAAAAAAGTAAGCACTTATAATTAAATCAGATTGTCAGGACAGTTCTGCTTGCATAATTGCAATGGGTCAGTCCCATTGAATGCTTTCCTCACCGAGCACCCGTGCACTGCAGAAAAGAAATGAGCACAAGCTTTGTGGGTATTGCTTTCCCACAGTACAGAGGTGCTCTGTGAGAAGCGCACTGAACAGGGCTTACTTGCTGCAATGAACAAATGGTATGAATTAAGTGAAAACGCTGTTTGAATTAAGCAGCTTATAGACGCATTAAAAACATGACGGGACAACCAAATTTTTAAAATTAATTTGAATTAACCGAATGTACGAAATATCCAAATTATCGCAAGTTCACAGTGGGTGCCCGCACCTTACCAGAAAGGGGGAACAATACCAGGAAAAAACATGGTGACCAAGAGATCAGTTGACAACAAAGATTCCATTGGCTTTGTAATTTGAGGGTTTTCCGTACACGATAAATGGTGATGATGACAGGCAACTCTAGCAGCTGCGCGTTACAGGGATAAGTGTAACTTACCTGGAAGCCCAGTCTTATGCAACAGACTAGAGTAGACTTTGATTACCTTCTTGGCAAGGCCTTTACCTGCATTCAAATGGCAGTCATGCAAGTTCTGCTAGTGCATCTTCAGGAATTACAAGGGCATGAGATTCGACTGCCTTAAAGGCCGACGACCAGACTCGAGATTCTGCAAGGCAGAATATCCTCTCACCATGGGAGACGAGGAGACGGGCAGCGGTGGACAGGGAAGAAGGGAAAGAGGAGGAAGCGAAGGAAAAGTGCAAAGCGCAAACTGGTCGTCAGTCTTTAAAGGGGCCCTGCAACAACTTTTTGACTGGATTTTAATTTGCATCGAACCTGAGCGCACTGAACGTAGTAGTAACTTAGTAAAACGTTTCTTGAATATAGCTTTATTTTCAAAGTTATAAGGCAAATTAAAATTAAAAACATAAGCAAAAAATAACCTCCTTCATGGCGTCCTTGATCGTGGCTTGGGTAGCCAATAATAGAAGCGAAGCGACTGGCCAATCAAGTGCAGCTTACATTGATCGCCGCTTCCCCTGCAGTCGCATGCGCGTCAACGGCTCTACTGTGCTTGCCGGCACAAATTTACGGGTCTGTTGGAGCTGGAGCTCCGAATCCTCGATAGAAGTGCGAAGCTCAAAGTGGTACTGTACGAGGACACTCCTCGTGAGCTTCGGGAGCGCGCTGGCGAAGCCTCTCTGCCCTAATTCGACTACACTCAAGTTCCGGGCAAGTTTGGGCGGGTCTCCCGTGGTTTTGCGAGGAGACAAATTCATACTTTCGCTTCATGCAAAATGGGCCACCGGCGTTGTGCGTCGTCTGCTAGGATCTGTAGGGCATGACCTCCGAGACCTTGTCATGCGCGGGGGTGCCTGCGCCGCCCCTTCCACCGCTTGGTGACGGGTATGTTGACGGGTCATCGTGCATTGTTTCTTGTTTCCATACTTACTAAACTGCATTTGTTTCTTTTCTCATCTAAAATTCTGAACAAAAACTACTTTTATAAATAATTGAAACGTTTGCGCCACTTACATTTTGTGTTTCAACTATTCGTCACATGCCGCTCGCGTTTGGCACCACGGGGCACCCCCGTAGTAGCAAGAGGGTCCCGCGTCGTCTGATTAAAATATGACGCACTGATATTTAGCGACTCTCTCTGTGCCTGCTGGGTTGCCCGAACGACAAGAGATGTGTAAACCGCAAAAAAGGTAGACACTTCAAAAGGATTGCAGGGTCCCTTTAAAGCAGCAGCATCAATTTTGCAGTCTACTAAAGCCGTATGTATAGTAGTTACTGACCTCCTCTGGATCCTGTTGACGTAGTGAAGAAATCGCAGGTCTGCATTTAAAACACCTAGCTCATTGTGCGTCCATTTTTTTCTTCCTTCCTTTGGCACATCCAGAAAGGAGACATTATTGACATCCTGTCGAGGAACACGACAGGCACGTGGGTGGGAGTGGCCAACAAGAAGGTGGGGCACTTCAAGTTCATCAACGTCGAAGAGATCCCCACAGAAACCAAGCCGAGGCAGCGCAGGTTTCCCAGCGTGCCCAAGCTGGACCACCGGCCAGAGTCTCTGGAGGAGCTCCTGGGAATGTTTGGGCTGCAAGTAAGACATTTTGCTCAAAGAGAATACCAAATGACTGAAAATGTAGTGGCTATCTGGTCCACACACTCAAATGAGTTTAAAAGATCCCCGATCTAGGACTTGGGAAATGGTCAAACAAAGTTCAAGAGCATTTTTTTTTTATTAAAGGAATTAACTTTTTTGAAGGTTGTATCTCTTGTCTAGAGCATGTCTTCCTTTACTTTCAGAACTACTTGAACGTCTTCATGCTGCATGGATACCAGGACTTTGAGATGTTCAAGGAGGTCACAAAGGACGATCTGGACAGCTTGGGCATCACGAACGAGGACCACCAGCTGCAGATATTCAGAGCCGCCGAGACACTCCTCGAGCACGACGGTACGTATAAAAAGACTGCCTTCCAATTATACAAGATAAATATATAATTGATGCTAGCTACCATTGCAGCCTATTTTGATTGTTCAATATTAAATTATTGTGCCAGGTTTTGGTTTGCTTTCTTTTTCTCGATGGTTTTGATATAGCAGTCGGAACTCTCGAATCCAAACTGGCCTGTTTCAAGGGCTACTTCTGACACAGCCTTTTAGGCACCTATGTATTTTTGTTACCCTCATTGATGCAAAGCATCTCTTATTTGGTTTTATTGTGGACCATAGCAGAGTTGTAGCTTGATTTGGCACACCAAGGTCAACAAACATGCGTAAGGATTGGGCAGACTGTCACAATATGTGCGCACCAACTGCTTGCAAAAGTAGTATCACATTTCAATTCATTAAAACTTGAAGGAACACTGACAGGGTATTTATGCTTGTTGAAGTTTTTATTTGAACATAACTTATGACTAGCCAGAAATCTACGGTATTCGCAACTCGAAATTTGTTTTCTTTTTTTTTGGGGGGGGGTGGCCCGAAAATTGTTAGTCAAGTATTGGCCGGTTTGAAACATGCTCACTCTCTCAATATTTAAAAAAAGAAAAAAAAAAAAAGTTAAACCTAGTTTTTCTGGCTTCTAAAAAGGTTGAAAAAAAAAAAAAAAAGAAATGTTCCACAGATAACAGGAAGTACATGTACTACGTCATTCTCAATATGGCGACACACCGCAGGCTGGACGATGTGATGCCGGTGCACACCGAACGAACATTGCCACAGACTTGGGACTGTTATTCTGGAACTGTCATTCGCAGAACCAGCAAATCGGTTTTCAAGCACAGAACAGCGATTGGAACAGATATAATTGCGAAACGATTGCGCGACAAACAGTGCACACATTGTCGGCGTCGTCTGTTTCACTCGCTAGAGGAGTGGAGGACCGGAAGAAAACTGGGTGGGCAGCGATAGCCACGTGACTTCTGGCAGGTCTCCCCTCCTCCATTTTCCCTTCCTCCTCGGTACGCTGTTTGGCCATGTGTCTCCGTGCTCATGTTTAAGTTTCAGAGTTGTTGATAATTTTTTTTTTTTTTAATTCATTAAAAAGATATGAAACTGAAGCAAAATATTGTTTGGTTAGTGTCCAGACACCATAATACATCATCTGGCAAAAAAATTTAAACAATGTTTGTGGGGGGGGGGGGGGGGGGGGGGTTGTGTCAGTGTTTTTTTATGGCCATAGCCAAATTTTTTGCTACCTTCCATACATTTCAGGTGAAATCCTGGGGGAATACCTAGAGGTCCCGGTCAGCCCAGAACTCCCGGCCGTAAAAGAAAGCGATGGCGACGGAGTCACCAACACCGCCATCAATGATCTGGACAGTGTTGCAGACAGCATTCCTCAGAACGACAGAAAGAAGACATTTCTCTTGCCCGACTGCGACGCTTCCTTTACGAGCAACGGACCACTGCGCTTCCAGCTCAACATCCCGCTGGCGGAACCGGATGTTTCGACCACGACAACGCAGTCTGTGCGAGACTTCAAAGAGACCATCTGCAACGGCTCCGACGTGTCTTCGATGACCGTGTTTTCGGGGCCGCTCCCGGAACGCTTTGAGCTTCGGCGTGCCTCCACGGACTGCATCCGGAGCCACCTTCCTCGGTCGCTGCAGAACGTATTCCGAAAGTTCAGTGGAAGCACCGGAGACGAGGACGGCAGGTCGGCGTCGTTTGATGAAAACGAGACGTTGTCAGAGTCTCCCGCCAAGATCTCGTACGGGTCGAGCTTTGCTCGGAAGGTGAAGGCTTCGTCTTTTTTGCGGAGGGATTCTATGGACGATGCATCCATGGCAGACGTGTTGGGCAAGAAAGGCAGCCGTGGGAAGGGGAGCCTCGACAATGTGGAGGAGAGTGCGCCGTTGTCGCTGCGTGCCTGCATCGAGCACAAACTGGCGGCGGAAGGCATTGACCTGTGCCAGGAACCCTACACGGACAGAGTGAGTGTACATCTTGAGTAGGGAAATGTGTTCTTTCTGCACTTCCGATCGTGAGGCCTGCTCTTCATTTGCACCAGCCGACTTTTCGACCGTAGCATCATGTTGCCAAAATTTTATTTGCGTGTCTAAACTCCAAGGCAGTCTACATTAATATATATATATATTCATCTTCACGTTGACTGGGCAGTGTGCTTCTGTGCCAAATTCTTTGGCTCTTCAATCTAAAATTTTCCTTATTAAGTAATTGTGACGTTCTATGAATGATCAGCTTTCCGGCATATTGAATATTCAGCTGCGTTCTCACCCCACACTGTTCTGTGCAGACCGGCTTCTGTGGAATACCGCCTGCACTGGTTCAACGCTACTCCGAGGAGCTTCAAAAGGATATTGCAGACACGGCAGAAGCGCTCGACCAGGTTCGCATCAGCGAGTTGGATCGCATCGGGAAACGTGGGGTAAGCATCTCGGCGTCTAGTCACTTTCTTGACAGCTGGAGACAGAAGTAAAAAACACCACGCCCAAAACTGTATACTTTTGCTAGAATTTGACGGCCCAGATAATCGATACAAGAAACCATACCATATTCGCAACTCCAGCGCTCCCGCAGATGAACGGAGAACCAGAGGAGCAGGGACGGCGGCGGCGCGGAAACGGTTGCAGGGACTGTCAGCCTTGATGCGTGAGGCCGTTTTAACGAAAATAGTGAGCGCATTAAAAAAATAATTGTTGTGCCCCGCTTTGCAACAGCCTTGCACGAAGGAACGGGATGTCTAATTTCGTTAGAGACTTTTCGTGCATCGCATACGTTGCGGATTTCTGGTCTTGAGCATAGCTGCCAGCTCAATCTGTGCTCAACATGGTGGAAAACGCTCCCGCTAATAAGGTAGAGCTCTATAGTACAGACTACGAAAAGTCTATTCTTTTGCCATAAGTAGGAGAAAACCCGTCGCGCAACCGTATGTCGACCAATACAAATCGGGAATGGGTTCGCGTTTTAAGGCCATTACAAGGAACATGACCATTTATTCCAAGCACTTTAAAAAGACAGGATACCCGCACTTGCTTTCAGGTAATTAAAAAGCAAATAAAGAAATGCTCGAAACATTTTAAGCGCATCTGTGTTAGCCAGCCGTTCGTGACGAGAGCTTAGAACGCGCAGTTTTGGCCAGAGGGACCGCAATGTTGCAGATAACACGGCTCAAAAATGTACGGTATATTAAAATTTTTTTTTTATAGAGCAATGAATAAAACTTCTAAACACACCGATTGTGTTAATAGGCAGTTTTTGCATAGCGTACGACACCCCTAAACTTCAGTTGGACTTACAGCGCACTGACGTTCAACCGGCGCTACCAAGTTTTACGAGCGGCTTGGTAGCTGAGTTGTGCAACTTATTAAAATAGCTTAAATAAGTGTAAATGACTGTAAAAAAAAAAAAAAAAGTAATTGTTCTTTTTTTTAATTTTACTGCAAAACATCAGGTTTTTTTGTGTTTTTTTTTTGTACTTTTTGATGCATACTTTAGCTGTTTAATATCATCTATTGCGCCGTCATCAAGCCTCTCGTAAAAGTTGGGGCCGTCAGTTTGACGTCAGTGGGCTGCATGTCAAACTGAATGAAGTTTTGGAGTGTCGTATATGTGACAAGGGGAGTAAGGACCACAACATTTTCTTTTTTTCTTAGAGTGATGAGCACAGCAACACTCCTGGCATGCACTGAGAAATGTGCTTCAAAGGCACAGCGCGAGCTTGCAGTTGTAATGCTACACCGCATGGTAGCCTGCGGTAACAAACTTTCTATCAATAACCACAGAGCAGTTTGATTACGTGTTGCAGTACACTAAAACCGACACGGCGAGCAGCGAGTTGTGAGGCTGTGACGCGAAGACACCAACACTGTGAGCGCTCAGCTCTTCCGAAGCTTGACGGTCATTGTTCGTGGCTCTCTTTTTAGAGCACTGATGGCCAGGCAAAGCACAAACATATCTTCATCACCCTCAAAATTATTCTGCCACAAACAGTACCGTGGCCGGTGCCTAAAACACGCTCGCTCACCACAAAGCTTGGCAATATGAGGTTTCTGCAACTTTTAAATAAGAGAATGCTCGTTTTCCTAAATGCAATCAGTATCTCCGTCACCTGTTATATATGATCCCTCCCTAACCGCTTCGCATTTGTATATGCAAATGCGAAGCGGCTATTTTTATCGCGCTGAACAGCGTCAGCGAGCAGGCACACGGGATATCCTGGAGAATCTACCCCCGTCTCTTCTGCCATCTTGGAACTACCGCCCTGCCACCTGTAGGGCGTTGGAGTTGCGAATAGTTGGGGTTTTGGGTTTCGGTAAATACCGATAAACCCCGATGAGCTGTTTTTTTGTTTTTTTTTAATTGGGGGAAATCGAAAAACCCCGTACCGGAACTGTCCTTGAGAAAGAAAAACCGAAGTTTCACAGGAAGATATCTTTATCCCAGTGTGTCGAACCGAAAAAAATACGGGTTCGGTTACGGTTCAGGTAAATTTATTTTGTTCCGGTTCAGTTCCGGTTCGATTAATTCGATCTGCGAACCGGTTCGCGAACCGGTTTGGGGCGCTGAATCGGTCCGCGAACCGGTTCGGAAATTATAAATGACAAATTGCAACATCAAAATAACAAAATCAAAATAACATCAAAATAAAAAAAAAAAAAAAATTGCAACATCACATCCTAGAAACGTGTTATGAAATGAGCACACAGCAGCATTTAGGATTTACGAGATTGTAGAAAAATAAAATCCCGTGACGCGATTTTTTTTTTTTTTTTGCACAGTTTTTTAATTTTCTTTCTTCCGTGCAAGCCGCGACCAGCGCAATACTGGTTCCTATGTCGAGATTCATGGATGCAGCGTTTGTCAAGATTCATGAATGCAGCGTTTATATTCCTAAGACTGAGTGGAGAAGAAAAATATGTAAGCGAGGTGTGTGTCAATTGACGGCACTTAAAAAACAAATGGCATTGATAGCACATTCATTGTCAGCAGCGCGTGGCCGAATTGTTTTGACATGAGCCGGTAACCGTTATTTTTTTTCCGGTTCAGTTCCGGTTCGGGTTCATCGCGATAACAATCTAACGGTTCGGGTTCAGTTCCGGAAAAAATACCGGTTCGGTTCCGGTTTTCGGTTCGGTTCGGTTCGACACCCTGCTTTATCCACAGCTTTATTTTGTGTTCACCCTAAACGCAGCCCTCACTCAGGGTGTAAAATAGCCAGGTGGGGAAACGGCCCATAGAAGCCTACCGCAGCGCCGTGACAGGATTGTGTACTCGTCTGCTTGCGGGTACCCCCGATTTGCGACAGATGGCGCTGCGGCGAGAGGAAAAAAAAATCGGAATCGGATTTGCATGGAAATTTATGGGAGAGTGCGCAAAATAAACCGAGAGCACGACAGTTCTCTATTGAAAATCCACGAGAAACCATCTCCGTCAGTTTAGCCGGTCACAACCGGTCGCCCACCTGGAGTGAGAGTTCACGGTGCTCCACATAGATGGCGTCACAGAAAAAGAGAAAACCGAGGGGAACACAATCCGGTCGCTCATTTGGCTCTCGTTTCCCCACTTGTCTATGTTACACCCTGCCCTCACTGAACTGTCCAAGTGGCTGCTTCTTTCTTCGGACACAATATCCCTCCTCCCGGTTCCTTCTCTTCTCCGTAATGGGACATTTTCCAAACATTTGGCTTACCCGTTCCTGAAAAATATCACCCCTTTCATACTTTCCAGGAGTCCTGATCAATGCCAAATGTTTTGTTGAATCAAAATAATCCCACAAAATGCCAAAATTTTGTGGGATCAAAATAATCCCCCAAATATACCCCCCCCCCCCCCCCCCCGCCCCACCCCCCTTCGAAGCTTGAAGCAAAATAAACCACGAACAGTGCAGGGCATATATGAAATAGGAAAATCTTTAGCTTTTCCCCCATATGAAAGCAATCACAAAGCAATTGAGCAAAAAATAAATTACTTAGCAGAAAAAAAAAAAAAGTTATTATTAATTTATTATGTTATTGCTAAACTGTTAGCCCCCGGAAAATGAACAGCAGACATTTCTAGCACTCGAGCAATTTGTGCTACCTTACCACCTACTTACTTGAGGGCTCCAAATGATGGCACTTAAGGCTCGGTTATACTTAAATGTTGAGCGCAGCAAACATAGCGTAGCGCAGAACGTGGGCCTTTGATTGGACGGCGAGCGGGAACTCATTATCTTCGACCAATCAGCATCAATATCCGCTGCGCTACACCGCGTTTGCTACGCTCGGCGTCGGAGTGTAACAGCCTTTAGGTTGATGCTGCACTGTTCTTGGGCATTCAACACTAGCCAACTTGCTCGAAAAGCACCAGCTACGCACCACAGTGTGCACTACCCCGTTCACATCTCCCAAAGGCATGCCTAAACGAAATACGACGAATAACAAGAGAAATGCAGACGCCAGTGTCTGGAATCCTCTCAACCTTTTCGAAGGGCAAAGCAGTTTCCAAGATAGATTGATGTAGCTTTTCTCATTGAAACTTAAAAAGTGAAGCTTAAGAACCCTCCAGCGTTAGGAGACGGACAAAGAACCCCGAAAGTGTGTTCTTCTTTGCGCAAAGATTTTGAAAGTGAGCACAACATCCCGCAGGTTCCCAACGACTTCCTGGCCGACTCTTGCGGCGGCCCCATCGTGGAGGCGGACTACACCGGGCTCCGTGCCTGGCTCGTGTCCCTAGGACTGCCCATGTACGAGCCCCTGTTCCTCGAAGCCCGGATCTCGACCCTGGCCCGGGTGGCCGACTTGCGCGAGCCCGACTTCCGCACCCTCGGCATATCGAACGCACGGCACGTTCGTCTGCTTTCCTCGGCGGTCGGAGCGCTGCACTTCGAACAGAGCCGCTACAGCCTAGAAGTGCGGTGACAGCTCCTGCAACGCTGGCGTTCCGTGCGGGAGCAGGTCTTCCAGGCTTACGTCAAACTGCCGTTCGGTGGCAGCAGCGCGTGAACGCGGGGACAACAGCTCACACCGCGGCTCCTCCAACGGCGAGAGACGGGCATTGGCGGGTTTTAAGGGGTGGGCTCAGAAATCCCACTTCTTGCATAGGTGCAAGGTACGAGAACTTCGATGGCGGGAAGGGTTGGGAACTGGCGTTCGCAAGAACCGTGCCCAAAAATTCTCCTGCGGTTGCGAAAGCAATGTGGCGGACAAGCGACCCGGGCTGGCACTGTCGGAAGCAATATACTCGGCGAGAGCTTGTGCTCTCGCAGAAACAAAGGTGCACCAAGTGATTCTTTTTTTTTAATCTATGCGTGTGAAAAGGAAGATTTGTATGTTTGTTGTTACTTAGCGAGTATTTTAAGTATGGTGTTTCCTAAGTATTGTTCTAGAATCTAGGAGTGCTCAGCTTTGAGCGTTCAACGGATATGTGCGGGAAAACTTATTTTCTGCTGAACTTTAGATTCTGGTTGCCATATCTGAACATCTTTAGACAAACTAGTGCAAGTGAGGGCTGTTCCAACAGTAGTATGTGCTTGGTTGCTGGATTCCAGGTCCTAACGATTGTGTCTGCTTAGTTGTGCATATCATAGGACACGCAAAATGACGCAAGTGAGTCAGTGTCATAGGTCATCCTCCCCCCAAACATGTTTTAGTACGAGTGTGTAGTCATATTTTCAATCTTGTCTAGGAACTTTTGAATAGATCCTAGTAGGCAGTGTTTCTGCTTGCTCCTCAAAGAAGCTGGGTGGCCTTTTCGGTAAAGAAAAGGATCTCTTTGGCACTCCCACGCTATTGACCAAGCCATTGGCTCGAGCCACACATTTATGTCTAGTCAAGCACATGTCTTTGCAGGGCAGTTTAACACATTATGGCTGGAAAAACTTGTCTTGCTCTGCTTTGTGAAGGCATAAAAATCCACCTACTTTTGAGGGTACTGTAAATAATTATGTAAAGAAAAAAATAATAATGTAAAGAAACTGAGTCACGTTCTCGCTGTGCATGTTGTATGCTTTTACGAGAAAGAATGCATATCTAATGTTCTGTGTACAGTAATGCCGCTGTGAATAAACCTGTTTTTATATATTGTGGAGTTTCTCTGTTCCCTCAGCCCAACTGCTACCACCACCAGAGTTCCAAAATCATATGAATGTTGTGCACTACACTACTTTCCATTAGTGAAGCAAAGAGTGGATGGGACAATCTGGCAAGGAGCAAAAACCAACATACCCAGTGTCACCTCGATTCTAGTAGGTGCAGAGCAAAACAGACTATGCGGTTGTGGTGTAAAATCTTATGATTGATCAAATAATTTAAGGCCTGTTCACACATGTGCAACCGAATACGACCGAGAGAGACAAGACCGGTTTTTAAGCCTCTTACGACGGCGTAGGGCCTGCTCCGCAGCGCGCATCTGGTCGTACACGGTCGCAAGAGGCTTAAAACCAGTCTTGTCTCTCTCGGTCGCACTCGGTTGCAAGTGTGTGAGCGGGTTTTTAGACTTTCAGATTCCTAGTATTTGGGTTTGCGAATAATCCGATACATTGAATACAATGCTGTTGGCAAATATTTGGGTTTATGCAGCACTGCTGTAATTACATAATAGTCCTTGCAGGCCTCTGCTGGATCTCAAGCTTGCATTCAGAAGCCTTTATTAACATACCATTTCGGCAGGATGTTTCTTGTATTCCTTGAATGAAGCAGTTGTGCTCCTGCCTTCTTGGATGTGCTTGACAAAAACCCTTAATTTCTTCGATATCTAGAATTCAAGCCCGCTGCCTGCTCCGAGCACTAAAAACTTATTCTTGGTCGTTACGTCCATAATACAATGAATGGTAAAAATACAAAGAACATTGATAATTGAATCGGCCTCTTCCACTAAACTGTCGCTCTCCGCGACATTGAGCAAGGATCCACAGCTATTTGCCTCAAGATCGAACTGTGTCGCCACTGTGCAGCCGAAATTGAAATTGTGCGAAAGCAAGGATACCGCTATGCATCGTCTGCTATGGGCACACATTCAGAAGCATGGATCTCATTTCTGGCTAAGTTGAGCTCTTCTCATTAAATGCTTGTTGTATCATTTCACATACGTGGAAATTCAGTAAAGTAATTATTAAGTCGGATGCTTCCATAAACTTGGCATTGTGGTTTTTATACAATCGCTGGTCCCACATATTTTTCTCGCAAAAATCGTAGCTTTCATAAAACGTTGAATGTTGTCTGGAGCTGTGGTGAATGTTGACTGGAGCTGTGGTTTGATTAAAAAATTAATCCGATTGATCACTACCCTTTAATAGACTAATCAACTGATAAATCCATTAGTTGATTTTTCACCAGTCATGAAAGACGTTAATACTAAACCTTTTTTTTACTATGTCATAAATGGCATACTGCATTCCCATTTTGAACCTTACGCTGCGATGCCTACAGAAATATGAACACGGGAAACCTTTTAAAAGTGAAGTAATATTTAAGTTATATTATAAACAGTATAATCACCCTCGACAATCGTAACCATGCTGAAGTGGTTTACCATGCAAGCCTGTACCAAAGGAAATAAAAGATGTCAGAAATATTAAAGCAGGCATTTTTTAAACTTTTTCCCGACTTTCTTTAGCACGAGAATCCGATTAAACGACAAAAAATTTATCGCAATGAAAGCATCACTCAAATAATCTGAAGGTTAATTTATGAACTACCCATTACCGATATCTGTTAGGTGAGGGCAAAGGGTGATCGTAAAGTCTCGTGGGAGTCGCTAGCCCTCATCACTAAAATCGTGTCACTGTGGCCGATGCTGTCTGTGTCGTGATGCGGGTCGGTTGTTGGAGTTGCAGAGTCTACTATGAATAGATTATTTAGCCAGAAATTTACAATATTAGCCTTTTGACATTAGCTGCCCTCATTGAGAAAATTGAAGCGGGTGAACTCACACCACGCACACTACTGCGTTGCTCGGTTACGCCCTCTTGTTCCACTCGCGACAGATATAATAGAATAGTTTGTTTCAGTTGTCCTGCCAAAGAAAAGGTTCCGGATCGTAACTAGAAGAGGCACACTCTCCTCGTCGCAACGTGGTAAAGTTTTTCAGAGTCCGAAAAACTAACACACACCTTGGCACAGTAAAGGGAAACATTGGCTGCAGCGGAACTTAATAGCATGGAAGTTTTTGAAACAGCACTCGCCTCACTTCATGCTAAATATTTATATTACTACTGCAAAAGCTAAAAGTTGCAAAAACAAAAATGCATAAAACCTCCGATTTCACCTCTCACGGTACCCGTATTATGCTATCCAGGTTGGAATTCATTCTTTTGTTGAATTCCCACGCTGGAGAGCAGATACATTTTTCAGCTGGAGACTGGCATCCGTCGTGGTGATCCATGCTTCCCTAGCGTGTCCAGAGCAGACGACGCATCCGCACAAGCAATTCAATTTAGGCCGTACGCTGGTAACATGATTCAATCTTCACTGAAACACCAAACGGTACCGCACCATTTTCAGCTAAAATTGTTTTCCCACCGATACTGTGCAACAAAATAAACGCGAGAATCTACACAGTCTTGCGCACGAACGTAGAGAGCCTATGAGGCGGCCATGCTTCTATCCCCGCTTTGATGATGATGATAGTGCAACAGTTCCGCCACCTCTAGGTCAGTCTCGAGGCCAGTACTCTGTTCACCCCTAAGCCGACAGTGTGGTGAAAGCTACGTGCTCACTGGACCTATCTTATGTCTTACCTTTCACCACATGATCACGTACCCACCCGTACCCACGCACAGAGCGGGGACAGGTGATGAAAGCGACGCGGACGATTGGTACGGCAAACATGTAGCTCAACAGACTGCACTGCCAGGTTAGATACGACAGGAGTATATGTGGCACAAAACGTTTCAATTCGATTCAAGCAATTCAGCCATACCCTTTTGCTCATCCGACACTCTGCATATCCATGTGTGGATGGGTGGACACATTCATCGGCTGTGTTCCAATTTGGTTGTTTTAGTTTGGTTGCTAACACCACTTATATTTGTGCTTACCTCTTTATGTACCGTATGCCTTGCAGTGCAATAAACACGTGGGGCATTTTTTTTAAATTTTCTGAACGTCGCAAATAAAGCTTTTGGTATTCACCATTGGCACACCTGTACTAAAAAGTGTAAACTAGAGATGGATGAAAGGCGGTACGCATTCCATATGGATAGGTGCTATATGTGAGCCTTCCATTGTCTGTGTCCAGTTTGTGCTTTTCACATCTTTTAATTAACAATGCACCAACTAGCCCAAACTAAAGTTTCAATGTCAAAATGTATAATTCAGACACTTTGGCAGGTGCTCAAATAAATGTACTAAAGCTAGAAATTATGAAAAAAGGAGAAACCATTCAGAGCAAGCCAAGGATGCCAGGCACATCGTCTTTATAGCAACGCTTTGTAACAAGGAAGAATGAAGTTATGGGAGAGCAACAGGCAGAGTTGCTAGGCGGAAATGTTCATTCAGAGGCATCATCCAGTTTGCTTTTCAGATCTCTCTCAAACACTTTCTTGACATCGCAGAATCCCTTGCGTGTCTTGCCGAACGAGTTGGGTCCTGCTGAAGTTGGCGTGTCCCTAAAATGAAAAGAAATTTTACGGTGGCTTAAACACAAAACAGCGCCTTTGTTAACGGCACAGCACAGTCCTTGGATCTGAGGCCAGATTCACGAAACGAACATACGCCAAAAATGTTCGTAAGACAAAACTTGAAAACAATTTCGTATTCACGAAACAAAATTTTCGTAAGTTTTGCAAAGGTTACGACGAAATCTTACGACAGCTCCGAAGCTGTCTTACGAACTTCTTACGATCAAATCAGCATGGCCGACAGCGTTGCTCAGTTACTGTAGTTACTGGGATCGTGACAACCAACGGATGTTTATTTTTGTACGTGCTCTTTTCACGCGTCCCGACTTCAAGCAGCAAGAAAAAAGTAAAAGGTACTTGAAACAGACCACGACGAACAAGAACGCTGGATCCACAAACACTCGGGAAAAGTTCCTACGGCCATGATTCCACCGGCAGATAGGCCTAGGCTCGGCAAATAGGCCTAACAGGCACTCCGACTCGGCGCAGCGGTGCTGCCGGTGCTCTGACGGTCCTTGGCCAAAACTGTCTGCCCACGACCGGCTGGTGTGCTGAATGGAATATGTCCGCGCCACCAATGTGAACCCTTCCCGTATTATAGTTTGATCGCTGACATCAGTTTTAGATTAAGAGGTCAATCTCTTCCTCTTGTTGTCATCTCCTTGTTTTCCGAGGCAGCGGTGACGAACGCTGTCGTCGAAAAGGGGCTCTTATCGACTCTATCTCTTTGTTTTGTGTGATCTCGAGCTCAAATAAACGCTGTGTGGATTACCTTCGCAACACGGTATGTACACTTTGTTATTAGTATTGCATTTTTATTCTGACACGACTGCACCTCACTGTCGATCGCTATAACAGTTTGTGGGTCGCAATGCCGGTCCAACCTTTGCAGGGTGTCACGTCAGCATCAAGTTGCAATTGTAAAGGATCGGTCCCGAAGCGCTCATCAATTCGCGGTCCAACAGTGCGAATCCAGCACTTCGATCAAACGCGCGCGTCTGCTCTGAGTGTGCACAGGTATTACGCGTCTCTCGCTGACGCACTCGTAGTTCAAACGTATCTTTTTTAACGTCGGCTCGTTGCTGCATCTCCGAGGCCGCGAAAAGCGCCGCGGCAATTTGTTTCCATCTCCGTCGCTTTGCAAACGACTGCGGGCCGTCTTTTACCAACGATGACATGTTGTGTTGACTTCGTAGCGATCGAGTTCGTAGCAGTCAATGGGGGCGGTTACGCATCCCGGCCTTGGCATTCGGGCGTGTTTAAATCGTGTTAGCGTCGACATATTACTGCAAGGACACGAACCCCAGACAAGCAGTGGCAGAAAGACCGCCTGTGTTTGCTATGAAAAATCCATGTGCTCCAATACGGCTCCGAACAAACGCCGAGCTCTCCGATTGGTTGTTCGTGCTGCCGAAGACGCCGTCGTGAATACCGATTTCTCCTCTTCTTACGATGTTCTTAACTTACAAACTTCTTAGCTAAGTTGTCGTAAACTAAGAAGCTCTTCGTGAATCTGGCCTCAGATCTGGAAATTTCCTGTCGGACTACGAGCTCTCGGCGAAGTTTCTAGACCCTAGACATCGAAGATCATTAGGAGGCTGAAAATATGTATTACCTGCCAATGTTCCTCATACGCATCTTTGCTTCTGGTGGCATCTCTTCCTCTTCCTGCAAAATGACACAGACAACCACGTGAGCTTACTGAAGCATCCTGGACGTGGAAAAAGCACAGAAATGAGAGGCAAAAATAGCACTTTGTTAGCTTACTACATACTCGGCATAAGAATGAAGAAACAACTACTTTATGCTGACAGGAGATGCACTAACCTTCAAGTATTTGTATCTAACTCAATCGAGACCTTACATGAAGGCAAACTAATACTGCAGCTTTTGACAATTACGCACTGTTTCTTTCTTTACTTTCCACGATGAAAAGATGGAATACATGGCAGGGCTAGCATAATTCAATTTCACCAACAGCTGGTGCCGCTAACTGTCAGCATAATTTTCTGTTGCAATTTGTTTGCAGCAAGAACAATATTTGATTTTATAATGTAATTGAGAAGTTCTTACATCACTACTTTGGTTGAAGGCCTCCGCAACAGACATGCTGGCAGCTTTCATGACTGGGGCTGGATCTTTGGTTTTCTGTTCCCGAAAAAAAAGAAAGGAAAAAATTGAAAGATGTTTACAAATCTGTCTTGCGACATTAGAGTGCAGCTGCTGAGGTGTCTTGATTTTGCGATATACCGTGCTCAAGAAGTTTAGGAGCAAATATTTCTATGTAGAAATATAGACCTGATACTCCTGCATACATAATATAAATTAATGATTTATTATAACATTATTTATATAGGGAGAAGAAGGCGAGGGGAGAGAGAAGGGGATGCAGGAGAAGCAGGGAAGGGTATGGAGGACCCTCCTCTCTTTTATACCCTCCCCTCCTCCCAGTTTCCTTGCTAAATTTAGACGGAAAATTGACGCCACGTGACCTCCACACCAATCCAGTTTCCCCGCTAAATTTAGCAGAGAAAATGACGTCATATGACTGTGCGTCAAGTCACCTATGAACAAATCCAGTTTCTCCGCTAGATATAGCGGGAAAATTGACGTCACATGACCTCAACACCAATTCAATTTCCTACTAAATTTAGAAGGAAAACTGAATTACGGTTGAGGTCGTGTGACGTCAGTTTTACCGCTAAATTTAGCGGGGAAACTGAAAGCGTAGTGTTGCATTTTGGGAATTCAGTTTCTGCACTAAATTTAGCAGAAAATTGAATTGATGTATAGGTCTGTGACATCCCACAATGCAACGCGCGCAGTTACGCTGATGGCGACGCCGAAGGCCACGAAACACGGGAACGAGCACCTAAGAGCTGCACCCTAAAAGTAACACAATTAAAACACAAGTGTACTCAACCTTAAACTCAGTAGCTGATCTGCTAGAATTGTAATGCACACTAGCAAATGTCAAACAATTTCGTTTTGAAGCGGCAAAACTTTTTCACAGCCTTTGAGGATCCAGTTCTTTGCACACTGGCCGTTTGGTTTCATTTTAATAAGCAATTGCCTTTTCTAAACAACTACATTTTATAGGAAGTTCATGTATTTCTTTATTCCATTCCTGGTATTTCAATTACAGTGATGGAAGTGGCATTTGCCCTCTCATTGCAAGTTTTGTAGCAGGCAAAATATTGGTTTGGAGCAGCCACTGATGCATTTAGAGCAGATGCCAACATCTGGTTAGCACACATCACTTGAAATAGAACAAGTGATTGCACTACTAAATTAGTTCATTTAGTGATAATGATTGAGGGTTCCTCTTTGATAATGAAGCACATTACTTATTATCTTTTGAAATAAGAATAAAGAGGACACCAAATGAACAAACAGCCTTTCTTTTGAGACATAAGGCTCAGTCAGAAGTTCCCATTTACAATGTGTGTTAAAGAAATGGCTGAAAAATTAAGCATGGTGCAACCTCTCTCCCCCTTCCTATTATACACTGGTCTGGTTTTTGAAGTTTGTTTTCACAATCGGCAGGTCGGTGGTGTCGGCTGCTTGACCACGAGCGTCGGTCAGTTCATGGCGCGTGTGCTAGCGGAGTTTCGTTTTGAGGCAGCGGGCGCGTTGGCGTTTGCCTGTTGTTTATTCATCTATGTCGTCTGCCGGTGTGCCAAAAACATGTCACCATGCCTATTGCTCGGCACGGTGGTGCTCTTATTCCGGTGTTAAGAACTCTCAAGTTATTTCGGTTCCCTAAGGACGAAAAATAAGTAATGGGCTGCTTCCTTCTTTTCGACCTTATGCAGTTTCAGATTCCCTAAAACTTAGGGGAGGTATAGAATTCATTAATGTTAAATCGACGAGCGGTTTGGGGGGATCAGTGGTCGAATGTGTTAGCGCACTGCAATTTGAAGCATGCACTGCAGAACCCAGGGATCCTGGGTTCAATCCCCCCTCCTGCCCATGTCAATCTGGATGAGCAATGTGCGAGTCGAATCACTTTCGTCTTAATTTTGTTTGCTTAAATGTTCTGCCGTGAAGCAACTTTTTTTTTTCTTTTGTATAAAGAGTGATTTATAGAAAGAGAACTTGCAAAAGAAGCTTGGACTTGTGCTCTGACAAAGGTCGCCCAGCTTAAACCTCAAAACACTGGCGTTTGGGCGCACTTTGCATTCATTGACTTACGATTTAATGAGAAGCTCAAGTGACAATCAGTTCGCATGCACTGTTAATGCTGTTACCAAGCCGATCTCAGTCGAGTGACGTAAGGCCAAGTGCAAGCGTTCCGGAAGTGTTGGAGATTTGCAGAAAAAGGCAAATACACGAGGAAAGAATAAGTAAACGGGCGGGAAACACAAAACGTCTCAAGTTTTGAGGCATTGTGTGTTTGTTCCCTCCTTCGTACGCTGTCCCCAGTTTTTTCAAAAAAGGGTGACAGGAAGAGGGGAGAAAAGAGGAGGGACAACACACCTCACACCCTCTCCCATGGCACAACAATTGCAATGACGACGGCGCCCATATTTTTGTTTGATGCTTTATTGTTTTTGGAGAAACCCAATGTCCGTAAGAGGAGATTTGGCGCTGCAGTCTGCAATTGGAGTCCCAATGGGAAATATAGGAAGATTCTGGGGGTTGAGCTAACTGAACTCCCACAAAATTATTGGAATACCAAGGTGCATTCTGGATTAGCAGTTACACACACTGGCATCTGCAGCACTAAATGCATCAAACAAAAATATTAAACAAATTTCACATTGCACGAGCATTCGTCGTCACCTTATTTTATTCATTTACTTCTAAGCTTCCTGCGTGAGCCTATTCATTTACTTCTAAGCTTCCTGCGTGAGCCTACACACCCAGTGTGCTCCTTGGTGCTCCAATCATTTGGTAACAAATCGGTGTCTGCAACCTGCTTGAACATCTTCGTATTGCAGGTCTGCAGTATTTGCACATCACTTGAATGCACTCGCAAGCGGCATACATGATTATTAAAAGCTACTGTCTGCGTTATCCGGGGTTTGCAGTGAAACCCGTCAACAGCTGATTTCACTTTTCCCCTGACCCTCTAAATTTCTTATATACAAAGTCTGCGGGAAAAATCCTTCACGTTCCCTTCACTGCATCGCATGCTTAATTTGCTACCGATGTGACCAGCTTCTTGCAGATCAGGCCTCTGACACGGAAACTATGCATACCTAGATATTTACTAAACCATGATGCGTAGCCAACCTTTGGCACGGATCATGGTTCCACACAGTGCAGGCGTGACGTCTTCGGACAATACTTAACTTTTAAGGACGGTTCACAAATTTGCTGTTTAGTGCGGACAAGTTGTGCCCGCTTGTAACCGGTCATGAGGAGAGAACACATTGGTATGCTGGCGCCCCCTATCGGCTAGCAATGGAACAGATCTGCATGTAACTAGACCGGAGCTTTTGCAGTGTTTGCAAGATCAAATCTATGCACCACCTATGAGGAATGACTGCTTTATAACATTGTCAGAATTACTTCCAGCCTACAATAACAAAAATGACACATAAATGTTAGGAAATGTGTATGCAGGTCGGAAATCTTCCTTGGCCACCTGGTAGATGGCATCAGCGTACACTGCGCAACACTGTTAGCACGAACGCAGCATAGGAGCTTCACTGCATTCTACTTTGAACAAATATTGGCAGGTGCCAAATTTTACAACTCAGGCTAGTGCGCCCCAAGATAGCACTTCCCACCACGTTGGCATTTTTTTGTTGATGGCCTTCCAATTCTAACCGCTCATTCACACTGGAAGCGGATCCGCGTTCGCAAAGCGGTTGCGAACGCGGTTGTATAAAGATCCAGTACAATTGCACGCGCCCCCGATGTCATCGAGTGCGCGTGCAATTGTACTGGATCTTTATACAGCCGCGTTCGCAACTGCTTTGCGAACGCGGATCCGCTTCCAGTGTGAATGAGCGGTTAAAGAGAAAAAAAAAAAAGAAACTGAGCAGCGATCACATAATGGCAGACTTGTATGTAATGCGTTACAAGTAATGGATTATTTATGATCAATTACATTTTACTGTAATTTTGTAACACTTTAATTACTTCCTTAAGGAGTAACGATCCTTGTAATTGAATTACTCTTTTGCTGTAATCAATTACAAAATCGCCCATTACAATTTTTCACAAATCTTTTTTTTTTTTTTCCCTTTGTGGGGGGGAGAAGGGGTTGGTTGTACTGGAGTCACTCAGCTCTGGGGAATAGTCAATGTTAGTTTGTTTTGTTTCAATTTTTTTCAAAACCACTAAGCACGGGACCTCGCGGATTAGTAGGGCACTTCACTATGCTTCGTTTAAAGGGACACTGACACCCCCCCAAAAAAAAAAATGTATTTTTTGCTAGGCGCTTCATTATGGTGTCGGAGGACTACTCAATTAATATTTTGCAACAGAGTAGCGTATTTTTTTAATAAAGCCAAAAGACGCAACTCCTCGAAACCGAAACCGAAACCCGACGGAGGTCGGAGAAGTGGAGAGAAGAGAGTGAGTGGCGGAAGTCACGTGGCTACACCCTTACGTGCGTTTTTTTTTTTGTTTTTTTTCTCCTCTCCGGTAGCAGACGACAGGACATGCGGCGTGCGATGGGGCGTGCGGGAACTGCTCGCCGTGCGATTTTTTTGCAGTTATGTTTGTTCCGCTCGTTGTTCTATACTCAAAGATGAGTTGTTTTGTACATTGAGGAGTTGGAGATGAGTAGTGAGTGCCCGTGGTGAATTTCCATGATCGGCTCCGAAAAGAATACACCCAAGATGTTGCGTGAAGAGCTGGCTCACATTTCCTGAATCCGAAAAAAAAGTGGCATTGTGCGACAGAGTTTCCGAAAGATCAACGGGATCGGGACCAACGGCTGGCTGCAATTCCTGTAGAACATATACGCGCACCTCGGAAAGCGGACGTTACCTGATTTATATGCTCCTTGCATTTTGTGGAAAGTGATTACATTGAGCTCGCAGGTGTCAAAACGGAAATCACATACCATTTAAATCAGCGAAGTATCGTCCACAACATTAGTTTGTTATTTTTTTGTTTGTTTCTTCAGTGATGATTGTAAAAAAATATATATATATGTAAACATCGGAAAATGTTTGAAGAAAAAAAAATTAAGTTCCACGGAGGATCGAACCCGGTCCTACCGCGTGTGAACCGGACGTCTTTCCCACTGAGCTACTGGCGCATCGCTTTTCTGGCGGATTTCTTTGCTTAGTAATAATTCAGCCGGTAAACTGTAAGTTGGAAAGTTTGCTGTCGATTTTTCTCTAGCAAAAGCACTCCTGGGTTGGGAAGCACCACGCTTTGGGGACATTCGCACCTAGTAAAGAAATCGTACGCGTGCATATTGAACTCCAAGTAGACACGTCGTGCTTGACGTTTGCGCGAGCGATGTCTTCAGCCACGAGAAGGGATCGACGGCTCGGCGACGTCTTCGTGCAAATCGGCTTGGTGGCCGGGCGTGTCGTACGGGATGAATACCAATTCTTTTGATCAGTCCCAAATTTCTCTTTTAACGGTAGACAGAATTCGCCGGTACCGCGAACGACAGTTCTGAAATAGAGGTCCCACGCCCGTCGTCCGCTGCCATCGCCGTCCCCGCGAGTCCCACGATACGCGAAACGACGAACGCACAGAATGCTTCCGGTTGTCTGTGGAACTTTTTTTTTTCAATCAACGTATTTACAGCTTTTTAGAAGCCACAAAAAATGGGTTTCATATTTTTTTTATATTTTTAATAATGAGTGTGTGCCTTCAGTGACCCACGACTTTGATTAAATTTGGTGGTCGCATCGATACCTTAGAAAACGGCCCGTGACCGCGAAAAAGAGAGTGAGCGAGACTCGAACCGGCCAGTTCTTGATCGGCGGTTTTCGGGCGGAAAGAAACCGAATTTCGAGCCGCAAATTCTGTTCTGGGTAGTTGAGCTCTCATATGTCACGTAAAACTAAAAACCTCAGCGAGCATAAATACCCTGTCAGTGTCCCTTTAATGGGTACATTTTTTTGTGGTACACTGAAGACTTAGTTCGGGTATGAAAAATTACCTTATCCAGCCTCTTGTGAGTAGTGTATTTAAACAGCGCTTTTTTTATATCATTTTATTTCACGAGAAGGATTCGGTGCGTTGGCGTCACTCAGCCCTAAGCAGGAATACAATCAAGGATTTTTTTTTTCTTTTTTTTTTTTCGGAACTACTGAGCGGCGAGACTCCATAATAAAAAAAAAAAAAAGTGGAATGAAAAGCAACCTGGTAAGTAATCAATTGCTTTAGAGTAATTTTTGGATTACTTTTTTGAGCCTGTAATTGTAATTGGTTACTTTTTACAGTGAAGTAATTGTAATTTTAATCGGTTACTTTTTTTCAGTAATGCGTACAAGTCTGCATGACGGGATGAGTTTAGACAGCAACAGCTGTGCTGCTAATTGATACTGCGCCAATTGTGCGTCATACGGTGATCTGATATTGAAATGACGCGCTAATTTAATGTTGATAAGGTGTTGATGAATAAATGATTTTAAGATTGTGGTGTGTTTTCCCGCCAAATTTAGCAGGGAGACTGAATTGGTCCATGTCCCATGACATCAATTTTTTTCTGCTAAATTTAGCAGGGAAAGTGAATAGGTGCACAGGTCATGTGACGTCACTTTTTCCGGTAAATTTAGCGGAGAAACTAAATTGGTGCATAAGTCACGTGACGTCAATTTTTCCGCTTAATTCAGCGGCAAAACTGAATTGGTGCATAGGTAAAAGTTTTTCTGCTACATTTAGCAGGGAATCTGAATTGGTGCATAGGTCAAAATATTTCTGCTACATTTAGCCGGGGAAACTGATTGGTGCATAGGTCAAAATTTTTCTGTTACATTTAGCGGCAAAACTGAATTGGTGCATAGGTCAAAATTTTTCTGCTACATTCAGCAGGGGAAACTGATTGGTGCATAGGTCAAAATTTTTCTGTTACATTTAGCGGCGAAACTGAATTGGTGCATAGGTCAAAATTTTTCTGCTACATTCAGCAGGGGAAACTGATTGGTGCATAGGTCAAAATTTTTCTGTTACATTTAGCGGCGAAACTGAATTGGTGCATAGGTCAAAATTTTTCTGCTACATTCAGCAGGGGAAACTGATTGGTGCATAGGTCAAAATTTTTCTGTTACATTTAGCGGCAAAACTGAATTGGTGCATAGGTCAAAATTTTTCTGCTACATTCAGCAGGGGAAACTGATTGGTGCATAGGTCAAAATTTTTCTGTTACATTTAGCGGCGAAACTGAATTGGTGCATAGGTCAAAATTTTTCTGCTACATTCAGCCGGGGAAACTGATTGGTGCATAGGTCAAATTTTTTCTGCTACATTTAGCCGGGCAAACTGATTGGTGCATAGGTCAAAATTTTTCTGTTACATTTAACGGCAAAACTGAATTGGTGCATAGGTCAACATTTTTTTGCTACAGTCAGCCGGGGAAACTGATTGGTGCATAGGTCAAAATTTTTCTGTCACATTTAGCGGCGAAACTGAATTGGTGCATAGGTCAAAATTTTTCTGCTACATTCAGCCGGGGAAACTGATTGGTGCATAGGTCAAAATTTTTCTAGAGGCGAGAGCAAGGGTAGCATTGGAGTAGCCAAGTACATGAGAGGGGGCAATCGTACGCTTAGCCAAATGAAAGAACTATGCATTGTGATTCATGATTATGTGGTTTATAAACACCATGCTGCGACTTGCTTGGGCAATATTGCCTGATTGCCGGATGAAAATGATCAACGTTAGTAAATTGATTATTGCGATTACGAGAGCTCTAAGTGCGAAACTTGGTGCATATATTGAGTAGCCATGAGCATTCCATTTCAAGAATTATCTACCCATTTATTTTTGCGTCCTAACCCTTTTAAGGTCGCATTGCAATTGTTATGGGAATGTACAAAATTGTCACAGTGATATGTGACACTGCATTATCACGGTGTCACTGAAGTCGTATGAAGTCGAGGCTACATGCCATAGATACAAAATGTCAGAGGCTGGCCCTATGGATGCTACACATTTAAAAGCCTGTTGGCGCTAATAGTGTCGGGCTTTCATTCTCTCGTCGTAAGTGGCTGCAACTGGGCAGAAAGGACTTGGTTACACTTGCTTACATGGGACCCCAATCCTGGGGGACTAACTCGTCCCTGTAATAAACTTTCTTCATTCATCCACTCAGACCTAAATGTGTGAACCAGCCTTTAGAGGCAGGCTCGAGAAAGAAGAAAGGGTACCTGCGCTCCCAGCCTGATGGAGATGGGCGCCACGGCTGCCTTCTTCTCTTCCATCGGCTTGATGGAGCCGAAGGTCCGCGAGAAGCCCATTGTGGTCTTGGGGAGCTTCTGGACGGCGCCGTCTCCGGCGGCCCCGGACACGTCTTCGATCTTTCGCTTCTCACTATCGGCTCCGGCCAAGTCATCAACGTCGCCACGGCTGCCTGGCGCTACCGCAGTAGTGCCAGTGCCTAGGTCAATGGCAAACACACTGGCAGATTTAAAAACAACGGCTCAGGTTAATCGCTCCACCACGTCTTGCACTCAAGACACGAATCGCCTGTACTACTGGGTCTGAGGTTTCTTATGTGGGTATGAAAACGAGAAATAAACATAAAAACACTTGGTTCTTAAATCAAGACGCTACTTTCGTAGGTTTGGCGACTAGCAGAAAATGCAGTTAAAACATTTCGGAGCCGCGCACGGTGAACCACGAATAAAAACGACATGCAGTTTTTACAGCGTGCATTGCTTTCAAAAACGATTCGCGAGAAGCAAGTTCGCGTAGTTTGAAATAGGCCTTAGCCCTAACGCCGACTGGTATTTTTCAATTTCCCAAATAAAAAAGCGTCTTAATGCTTATATTGTAAAGAAGCTGTCTGCTTTACATGATCGCTACAAAAGCAATATAAATTTGTAATAAATGTACACGAATTACCTGACCGCTCACTTCTGTGATCATCCCGATCGTCCCACCGACTTCTACCTCTGCTGCTCGCCATTTTGTACACAATTACATTGTTATTAGACTTCCGTATAACCTACTTCCAACTTGGCATCGAATGAGATACCAATATTTTAAACTAGATAAACGCAAATTTATTGATAATTTTGTTTGAAAGTAAATATTAGTTTTATTAAACTATCTTATGTTTTTCAAAGCATTTAGAGTTGACAAATGCAATGGTATATAAACGACGCAGATGTTGCATGAAGGTTCACCGTGCATCGTGCATGTATGTGACGGCCACATAGAGATCAGACGAGCGTTTCGCCGCAGTAAGGTTGCAACGCCTATTGGCTGAGAAAAAAAACAAAAACAAGCAAAACAACACAAACAGGAAGTGACGAAAGTTTTTGTTTTGTTTGTTTTTGCTTTCTTCAATTTCATTTTTTGTTTTTACTTTTTTTCCTCCAAGTGTTTGTTGGGCGCTTTTCGGAGCGGTCGCGTCGGTTCCAGCAGTCTTTCTTGTATTATAAGTTGTCGTGTTATGTGCCGCGGTATTGCCGAGTGGAGTTGGTCGTGATATCGGTGATATTCAATGCTTGGGAACGAGCGTCGGCAGTGAAGTCGTGAAGTCCAAAGCGCATTCATGCAAGCTAGCAGGCCCCGTCTCGCCACATGGAGGCCCGTGGGACGCTTGTTCGGAACGTAAAAGGTGAGTGGAATTTACCTACTGGTGGCGTTCGATTGTCGATTCTACACCGCTGTGGTGGAATTTGATAGCGCTTGGCTACCTCACGTAGCGTCGGGGACAAAGAAGAAGGTACTAGAGATAATCAACGGGAGTGGCATGTGGCTCCGGGGTGCCGCCTGCGCCGCATTTGCATTCAGTAATCGCACTTAAAGAAGGACCAAGCGCGTTGGGAATGTCAGCTTTTGACGAGCTCGTGCAGTCAATTAAAGCGTTCTGTCGAAAGACGGGATTTACAAACAGATCAGGCTTCGCGAATGGCCCTCCCGGCGCGTCGAATTTGTGGCGGGTAATAATGTTACTGTATCCTGGTAGGCCTGCGATGGTGTTTTCTGCACAAATACTACATTCTGCCGTGTGGTACATTCACACCTGCAGCAGAACTGCTAGGCGATTCTGCTACAGGTTAATCGCGAACAGTAGTGCTCTTCCATTTTAAAGTGCATGGTAAAGGACAACAAAGTGCCTCTCTGTTCTACTTCTCCTTTGGTATTCAACTGGTTGTATTTTCTACTACATTTTGTTCAGAAAGCCACTGCGAGACAGGCATTATTGATGTATACTATCCAAAATAATGCTTGAGCATGAGACGAGGTAACAGAAATACTTCTATATGTGCCTGCTTTTTGTGTTTTTGCAAGACAAGGTAACAGAAATACTTCTTTATGTGCCTGCTTTTTATGTTTTTGCAATTCACCGGCTAGACCACTCTTCTCATGGTTATTGTTTTGTTGGGTGTAAATTTTCCACCCCAGGTGTCCGATGCTTGCGGCTGATGGCTTCTACCTACGTGCATCAAACAGCGGGCCTGCACCTTCGCCGAGACAGCAGTAAAACAGTTCTGGGTAACTGCAGCGACTGGGTCACCGATGCCGTTCCACTTCCTGCACTGCACTCTGCGTGGGTCAAAGGGCCAGCGCATGCCCTTTACGGGTTGTCGCCAGCCATAGTGAGTATGGCTTAGAGTCACGTCATGCGAGTGAAATGCTTGTCACCTGAGTGACGTCAGTGGGGGGGGGGGGGGGGGGAGGGGGCGCCGCCGCCGCCGCTACTGGGGCTATGACCGGTGGTCCGCGATCACAGACCACCGAGCACCCATTGCACTGTTCTGGGATGAACTAGCCGCTCTTGAGAAAGAGCAGGGTGCTTTGGGAAGAGCTATGGTGTCCGCTTTTTCACTAGCTCCAGCTGTCACCACAGACATTTTATCGAAAGGAGCAACATCTATGAATGAGTAGACGGCGCTGAATGGCCGCAAGGGGCCTCGCTTCTGACCGAGGGGGTCAAGATAGTCCCGTTTCAACAGAGGTACCTCTTGGGGTATTGTACAACACAGGAAATAAAGGGCCCGAAAGTTTTCTACCTCAACAAGGTGTGGGTTATGGCAGGACCAATTTTCTCAAAGGTGCGAGTAAACACAAATGCGGCTTTGTTCCCTGGAAACCTTCATGTGTGGTGGCATGAGGGACTCATTGCTTAACCTTGCTTAAACATCAACGACTGGACTGGTCAAGGGTGGCATGCCTGAGAGTGGGACAGTAGACGGCTGTTATATACCAACTTTAGACTTCATTCACCCCTTAACTGACAGGGCACTGGAGGCTACATGCTCGGTGAACCAGCCGATTGTCAGTTTTGCATCACTTAGCATGCCCCTTTCTCATACAGATGTGCAGATCGGACATGAGGCAATAAAAGCTTGGCCCACCAACCGCATGGCTCCTACCGCCCTGTCAGCGTAGGGGTGAACGGAGCGTAGGGGCGGCAGAGTTAGTGGGGTCTGCTGAGTGCTTCTGGCATAGCAGCTCGGCAGTGGTGAGTTACTAGAGCACAAAATGCAATACCGCACTTTACTCTCAATGCTGTGAGCCATTGGAGCCAATCGAGTGCCGAAGGTGTGTCACGTGGCGTGTCCGTTGGGTGCAACGGCACGTGGAGCACAGTGTCATCTGGCAGCGACAGAGTTGGATTGGCTCCGGTGGCTCGTATCGTCGGCTGCGGTACAACACAAGGTGAAATGGAGTAGAATGTGATGGCGTGTCGCATCACAGAAGGTGAGCAAAGTAAACAGATAAAAGTTTGATTTTTAGAATGCCTTTAGAGCGCATCACAGGTGCCCCAGGGCGGGCGAGGAGAAACCTCCTCGCCCATCGATATATTATCGGGGGACCGGGGGGAGAAGGGCCTCTGGGGACTGGGCGGTGCCGAGAACAGGCAAGTGTGTGTGACCGGATCTCGGGTAATCGTGGGAGACGAGGCCTGGGGGCCCTCTTTGTGTTTAGCTTTGGCTTTACGTGCGAGTGCGAATATCGGTGTAATGTCGCATGTCTTTGCAGTTTAGATTGAGTGTTTTTGAGCGTTGTGTTTTAGGAACAAATAAAAGGGAACGGAATTCCCGCTTTTGTGAAAGAACCAGGCTGGACTCTGGTTGTTTGACGGACCACGTGGGATCTGGCGTGTCGGCGGCAGTATGCGAATTCCTATGATGTGTCCTTTAAGTTTCATATATTTTGGTCTTGCATTTTAACCACTATTGTATAACTTGTTCACACCATTGTTTAACATGTTTGTTTCCTATGTTTGCATTTACAATTGCACTGTGTAATGCCCCTGGCTCCGAGGGTAAAATAAAGGAATAGAAACACACCAATTCTGTAAGCTGCCAAGTTCAATTACGATCTCCTCTTTCTGGATATGCACTGTATAGACTGAGCACCGGCCCTGGACAAGCGGAAGTCCATTGCCACAGACTGAATGCCAGCAGAGCTGCCGAGCCTCGCTTGTGTTTGGTCCCATGGTGGTGCCATTAGAGCACTGTGTGGGCCTACTTTTCGAGGCCAGTCCCGGCCCTCCTGGCAACCCGCTCTGTTCGTCCCGACAACAAAGTGCGCTTAGTCAGCATACAAAGACCACTGTTACACTTGTTTGAACAAGATTGCAGCTTTAGCGGGCTGCTCGACTGCCATGTTGTGGCAACATTTTTTGAAAATGAGTTTCTTTCGTAGGCTGCACTCAATTAGAAGGCTGGGAGGCATATTGAATCACATTTGTCCAATCTGTCTGCCAGAATGTGTGAAAGTAGAACAGATAGCACATCGCTCTTGGTAGAGCAGCTCAACCTTGACCAAGGTTTACGGTAGGCCTGCACAGTGCTTTAGATAGAACACATCTAATTTCACTCTCCTTTATCACAGTGTGGAGCTAAAAACTAGTGTGCCCTACCAGCTTGTGGTGGTGTGGTGACCATAGCTGGATGCCGGTACTTTGCTTGGCAGGACTTAACCGAGAAAAAGTTTTCGCCTTGTGCCAAGTTTCACTGAGGCACAGTATAGTTTGCTGCCTGATGCGATCGTAGAGCATGTATCCACCACTTAGAGCTACATGAGACTGGTTTGATCAAAATGAGAATTATATATTGTCCTTTCAGAAATACAAAGTAGTAAACTTTATAACTCTGCATATAATTCTTTTAAGCTTTCTTTTTGTGCAAACAACACCAAAAGCCGGCACTGAGTTAAGGTATGCCTAAAGTCGGCAGGACTTTGAACAACTCTATCGCATTGCCGCAAAGCAAGAAGAAAAAAAACATAGCATATCGTCTGCTTTTTTTCTCTGCTCTCTCTTCGGACTACTGGTATGCCGATAGAGCAAATAGTCGTAACCAGTTATAAAATAAGGTGCGCAAGTTGTGCATATAATGATGGCATGCAGTTAGGTAGTAAAAATAAGTGTCAGACGACACTTCACAAAGCAGAACAAAAAATTAAAATAAAATGCGGCAAAAAAAAAACCAATATGCCTTTGCTTAGAAGCGGAGGGGAGAGAGGAGCGACAATTTGAAGCCACTTTATGGCGGCTGTGTCATGCAATTCCAAGGTGGCAGCGCCTATGCAACGGAGGGTGAAAAGATCTAGAATTTTAGAAATAAATTGAAGGGATGGCATGAAACCATTGGCAGGGGTCTGCTCTGCTAGCTCGGATGCGATGGGGGTTCACCATCACTCTGATGCAATCACTGTACCAAAGTGCTTGCCCTATTGTGCTGCACTCTACTTGATCAAAATAGAGAATTTGCACCACCAATGTGCTGAAAAATATATTTCCTCAATGCTCAAACTATTTGCTAAGGCTTCGTTATATGCCACTGTCTTATAGCAGATAGTTTTCAACTTTTGAATATTGCTTGATTTACTGTAGGTATGAAAACTTTTGGGAAACTGCAGCAGCTGACCACATGGTCACCCGCTCGCCAAAGCGAGGGGTGACCTGCAGACTGTTTGGAAGCCTAGCTTGTAGCCCAAGCTACTGTTGCATTAGTAGCAGAC